AAAGAATACAGCGGAGAGCAACATAAATGATTAGGGGTCTGGAGCACATGACTTATAAGGACAGCCGGATGGAGCTGACTAAACTTAGACTCCAGAAGAGAAGAATGAGGGGGGATTTGATAGCAGCCTTCAACTACCTGAAGGGGGGTTCCAAAGAGGATGGAGCTCGGCTGTTCTCAGTGGTGGCAGATGACAGAACAAGGAGCAATGGTCTCAAGTTGCAGTGGGGGAGGTCTAGGTTGGATATTAGGAAACACTATTTCACTAGGAGGGTGGTGAAGCACTGGAATACGTTACCTAGGGAGGTGGTGTAGTCTCCTTCCTTGGAGGTTTTTAAGGCCCGGCTTGACAAAGCCCTGGCTGGGATGATTTAGTTGGGAATTGGTCCTGCTTTGAGCAGGGGGTTGGACTAGATGACCTCTTGAGGTCCCTTCCAACCCTGATATTCTATGATTCTATGAACAAAGGTGTCCTTTTATTGCACAGAAACATAAGCTGTTCTCAAGTGCTGCAAATGTTCGATTGCACTTAATATGCTGACACGCAGTGAAACGTGGCATTTAGTGTTAATGATAGCCTGAAATGCTGAACACAATGGACTTCAAGCTTGCCCAGCTTTTATTGTGACAATCACCTCTTGTAGTTCCAGCCCGAAGCTTAAATGCAGATGGAGAATATCTGGTCTATTCCTGAAAAACGAAAGAGGCTCGGTGGATCAGTGCTGCTGCTCTAAGAGCTGGTGGAGTAATGCTCCACATGATCCCACTTTACAAAAGCTGCGAGAGCTCACCTATCGCTGATTTGAGGACATCAATATCGTCTCTAATTGGGCTGACCATTACTGTTAAAATGTGTACTTGAACATAGAGCATCCCACGTTTTTAATTTTGAAAATACCCTGTCCACATTTAAATAAAGGTCTCCCCCCAACCCTGCCATATAACTTTAGCTTTGTTGATTAGTCCAGTGAAATGCTGGGAATATTTTTGAGGGCAAAACTCTACTACCCTTTAAAACCTATTTTTATTTATTTTTAAACAATAGCAGGGAGGAGACTGCTATAACAAGATAGTGGGCTAGATCTTCAAGTGTGTTGAGCTCTGCCTGGCACACCTGAAGACACAGGGTCAAAGGTAGCTTTCTGTCACCTTTCTACCCCCTAATCCTTAGGGCTGGTTCATCCCATGACAAACTGGAGCAGCCTCAAGGCTGCGCTAACTTACAAAGGCTGAAATGGCCCTCTAGGGTCTGATCCAAGACCACTAGGGTGCTGAGCACTCTGGCTCAGCCCCTCCCACTTCTGGCACCCTCTGAACACACCCACTCCACTGTGTGGGGACAGAGGAGCAGCAGTGGGGAGCATGGAGCTGGCTATTCTGACTTTATGCTACCCAGGCACTCCCAAATACAAGAGGAATCCCCAGTTGCCCACTAAGTGAAGCTTTCTGGCTGCTTTCCACTGCCCGAACAGCTCAAAGCAGTCAAATGGCAGCTTGAGGACTTGGCTTTACAAAAGACAGGTAGACACCGCCATGCTTACTGCCATTTTGGATAAAGGCTTCACATGAGGGGAACAAAATGTAAGTGTTGCACTTTTGAAGTGACAGCGCTGCGAACTGTGCTTAGTTAATAGCCAACGTCCCTGTAATTATTGCATGCAGGAAATGTTTTGTCTGATATATGACGAGAGAGAGAGAGACAGAATCTCTGAGAATTTAAAACAAAAACTTAAATTAGATCCTGTGTAAAACTATGGCACTTTGTTCTTACCTTTCTTCCTTTGTGAGATGTGTCAGTCTTCTACACTTTCGAGCGAGAATAAAACTGAAAAAAGAAAACCACAAACACAAAAAAGGAATGATGGCATCCATTATATATACAGTGCCCTTTAAAATGCTATCAGTTGGTGGCTTGATGATGCCAGCTTCTAACATTTGTCTCTTATCTTTAGGTCTTTAGCTGGTGGCCACTTTCCAACCCTTTCAATTCTTACTGAGAAATGTGGTTATAAACTTTTCTTCAGTTCTGCAGGATTTAAGCTCAGCTTTCAGAAAGTTTCTAAAGGTCAAATCTTTATCTCAGGCTGTCTGCTGGAGAAATTTACTAGGGTTATAGTAACGGAAAAAGTGGAAACGTCCTTCCCCATGCAGCAGAGGGAAAAGTAACCACCGGGCAACAGTAGCCACTGCATCTTGTGCACGCTTCCTCCTGTGGGGAAGGTGTGGGGGACAGACTGGCTGGTGGATCTATGAAGTCACCTTTCTCCAGGCCAAGGCTTAATTTGTGCAGAGCCCTGGCACCTGTAGCTTGGCAGTTCATAGCCCCAGCACCTCTGGGCTTTCTGCAACAGTTATGAATGTAGAAAAATTGCTTGAGCCCCCAGCACCTAACTGGTTGAGCCCCAGCACCTCTTTCATTATAAATTAAGCACAGCTCCAGGCTCATTCCCAAACACCTCCTCCACAGGTGTGTGCCATGGCATTGGCGATGTACAGACCTCTTGCTTTGGTCCCTGCATGCAGGGAACCACACTCTGGTCAGGGTCAGAAGATCCATAGGAGCTGTTTCATGGCATAGTAAATCCGCTCATGACAGCTGGAGGATTTGATATAGTAATAGCAAATTACGAAGGCTAGTGTGGAATTAGGTGGTATGGCTCAATAGCCTTATATAAGGAAATGTTGCATTTCATTTTTGATTATTGGGGACGGGGAGGAAAAACACATTTATTGGAAAGAAATCCCCTTTAATAGGGTTGGCTGAAAATTTTCATTTAAAAAAACGGGGGGGGGGGGAATTGTAGAAAATTTTAGGTTTTTTTTTTTAATGTTTGATTTTGGAGGATTTCCCCTGGACACCACCAACTCGCTTTACATTTTTTCCTCCTCTCTCTCCCCTTATCCTTTTCTTATTTTGACATTGGGGAGGCCAGGGACAAAAGGGACAGGGGTAGGGAGGGAAACAGAAATAAAACAAACATCTTTTCCCAGATTTTTCCACACCAAAAAAAATGAAAATAAAAAAAAAAAAGTGAAAATTTTTTAAAGACAAAATTTGGGGAGCAAAATACTGACTATATTTTGTGAAATAAAATAATTCACCACTTTTCGAACAGCTCTACTTTTTTGTTAATATTTTCAGATATTTTCCCCCAATAGTAGGTTTCCATGTCTCCTCAAACCCCAGGCCCACAAAAATTAATGGACAATCGTCCCTCTTCTCTTTTACCCCATTATGGCAGGAACACTGCAATTGGGTTTTGTATCATCGAGTGTCATTCCAATCACAGCTTCCTCATCTTCAATGAGCATGGTACCACAGTAGTCTAAAAACCAGAGAGGAGAAAAAAATGGATTTTATTAATCCAGGTAATTTGGAGAACTATGACAGAGAAGGAGGTGAAACCACCAGTGTGGTGTGACAAAGAATATGACACCACTCTCTTGCTCCATGGAATTGTTCTGCCAGAGATTGTGTGCCCTGTTCCTCGGGCTCTGGGAAATACTATTTTCTATCTAGGTGAGATATTTTAGATATGGGATCCTGAGACTCTTAGCAACCTGTTCCGGGCATCCTTAAAAAGCAGGGACAACATAAGGATATTCATATAATTGAATTTATGACCAAAAAGATGGTGTTATAACCGACATGACAGGGGTACCAATTAATTGCACAGAAACACACTGTTCTTGAGTATTGCCGGTGTTTAATATTTTGGCAAGCACACTAGGTTTTTATGACAGGCATATGCCAGATACAAAAGATTTCAGGATGCTTGTACTAAATGTTTTGGAAATACAGAGTACAATTGTTATTAAAAACATGGCTCTGAAAGCACCAGTTTTTCCAGAGCACTCTGGACATCTTTACAGTCATCTGTTACAAATCTACCCAAAAGCTTAAAGGCAAACAAAGACTGTATGGTGTGCAAGAATTAAAGAGGCACTGTGTTCAGTGGTGTCACTTTAAATGGTTTGGGAAATATTTCAACTTCCGCACTCCTAGGATCTCTAGCTGGCCAAGACATATGGCTATATTTTTTTTAGCTACAAACTATTCTCAAGACAAAATTGTCGCAGTCATGCAGTATATGGCATAAAATCGCTCTCCATTATGCCCCAACTCCACCATTATGTTTAGGTAACTAATGGCAGAGATATGTCTCATTTCAAGATGTCACTGAAGAAAAATGGGGGACGGGGGTAAGGAGAACAACAAGTAACAAGAGTTAGTGTATCCCAACTTCTTCCCTCATGTCCTATATTCTCTCTCTCTCCCCTCCCCCCCCTTTTTAGGACTCTCGGAGAAGTAGCTGAAAAGAGATGAAATCCCCTTTAATGTGGACTCTTGTATTAGCATAATATAATACAAAAGAAAACCCCCAATTAAAATGTAATACCCCTTTTCCTCCAGAAAGGTTCTTTGTAGTATACCATGCACTTGATGACTGAGCCCATGGGAACCCGGCTGATCAGCTGGTTTCTCATTGGTGGTAATGGTGGGTTGAAATGAATCTTCAAATCAAGAACTGGGGGAATGGCACTAATAACATACTTGGCCTGGAAAACAAATAGTACGTAAACGAAATACATTATCCAGTATTTGAGCCTTTCTCTATTACAGCTGGGGAAGCTTTACAGTATGTATGCTGACGGTAATATCTTCCAAAGCAAAGAAAGTTTGGCCTATAGCATGCAAGTTACAAAATAGACCTCTCAGGGTGTCTTGGCTGTGGAAACTGCAAAATGACAACAAGTACTGTATAAATGACCATCCAATTGGGCAGCTATTCTTTTCTAACTGGTCAGAAGACTATTCCTCTTACAAAAGGGTCACTTGGCTCCTTTTTGACTGACCTTTCATTTTGTGTCTTGGAAGCTAACTCTGAAATGTTTCTGGAGAATGTTTCTCTTGCACTAAATTTCTATTATCATCCCTGGAGATATTCTTTTATTCTGAAGCTAACTGAATGCAAAGGAGCAGAAATAGTAAAGGAATGACACAAATACACATTCTAGAATTCTCTGCTTCTCCGGTGCCCATCCCAAGCTGTGTCACTGGTATTACTTAGGGAATAGCAGAAAATGTGACTCCTGGTTATTGTGGCTCTCTTCTTTGTTATACTGTGCCTCTATTGAGAAGATGAATGGAGCAATTAAAGATTTAAAAACATACCCCTACAAATATTTGCCCTAGTGTAAGGTATTGAATTACCTCGTATGATTCATGGTCTAAGGTCTCCACAATGACATTTTCACCTGACTGATCAATGCGGACTACAGGTTTCTCTAGCTTCACTCGGCCTCCCAAGCGTTCCATTAACTTCTCACTAATCTGACCAGAACCTCCAACAAACTTCCTCTCCTGGAAGAGAAAAAGAGACAGTTCAACAATGTGAGATGGACAAACTTGGTTTGGATAAAATAAGAATCATACAGAACTTTTGTTCTCAACACTCAAAATAAACCCAACTCCTTTTTGACTTTTTGGAAAGTTAGGTGACTTAATTTGGAAAGCGTAGTCCTAGTATTTTTTACCCTTTTGAGAGCAGAGACCTCTGAGCTTGCTGGGTCTGTTCACCAATGGGACCAAAAGTGCCAGAAATCTCATGAGAAAGCTGTTCTCATGTGACTTCCAAACCAATTCTGGAGATCCCAGGGGCTCAGCTAAGGTATGGATCAGCATTCAAATTTGTGAATGCTCAGCTGAAGTCAGTCTCATCCTTTTTGGAGGTCTGCCCACCAGTAATAGTAACAATGATTGCCATAATTATACATAAATAGGCTATAAAAAGCAAGTAGCATGGTCCTGAAATCTGCCAGTAGTATTAATTATAACTAGAAATTTTTTTAAAACCCTCTCTCACACATATCAGAGGTGAGCCAAATAGGTTCATTTCAATATAGTAGAATGCAATTAAACGTACATTCATTTCGTGCAAGAACATTAGCCGATTCTTCCTTTTCTTCATGTGTGTTACTTGCATTAAATACACCACTTCACGCACATTTTAGGGTTATATAATACATAAATACAGGCCTTTATCTTCATCAGATTGCTCTGATAGCCTTATGAACTACAAACATTGGAAAGATTTGATTTTAGTTACCCAGCTACTGGTGGTTGTGTTTCAAATATTAGTCTGTATCTATCTAGGCACTTTTGCAGTTCCCATCACCTTACACTACTTAAGTACCTCTTATATATTTAGCCTGTGAGGACAGGAAGTATTACTAATAGTCCCATTTTTCAGAGGCTGAACTAAGCGAAAGGGGGTGATCTGCCCAAAGTTAGAGTCAGGAATTGAACCCAGATCTCCTGATCCCCACTCCAGTGCCTGAACCACAAGAATGGCCTTCCACATTGATACAACCTGAACCCTATTCATACTGAAATCAAGGGTACCTATTGTCTCTATGTAAAGTAAAAACTATGGGAGTTTGGCTGCCCTGTTAATGCAGCAGTGAACAGTGTCTACGTGATTCTTGTCCTTCCTTTTAAAAACAAACAAACAAAATAAACAAGTTTAAAGGGCTTCTGCCAAGAAATGTGCTGTGTTCTTCAGCTTACTGTACCTGCCCACCGTTGGTGGTGGAGAATATCCTGCCTGTCCCCCCACACTGCTTCACGTACCACAGGAACCAGAGAGCAGAGACCTCGTGAGGCTCAGAGGTGACATCCACATTCACAAACAGTGTTGCAAACCTCTTGCTAGCACTGCACATGGGATCAAAGTAAAGAGAGTATGTTACTATAAAAGCAGTAAGATGATATCCATCGCCTAGTCCTGTTCTCTAGCAACAGCGAAAGAAAGGAGCCTCGCAATCCTCCTCTGCCAGTGATATTAACACTATTTTCTTCTAGCGATTTGGTTCCAGGTCTCTGTTACCCTAACCCCAAAACAGTTCATCTGAGTTCAGATCCTGGGTTCCAGTTTTGGCCCATCTCTAGTT